AGTTTGCACTGCAAACACCCCGTCCTTTGCAAAGTGAGTGTGACTCAGCGCGAAGGCAAGTGTGCACCTACAAGCAAGCATTGCAGCATTGCAAGTTTGTAGAGAGCGGAAACTGCAGAAACTGAAATTGAGGCTGAATTGAGGCTGAAACTGTAACTCTGAAGTAGTTGAGTCCAGTCGGGTCTCTTTTGACTTAAAGTTGAAATCAAAACGAAAGGATGGTCTCTCCCCGCTGTATCCCCCAAGCAACACTGTTTGCCTTTTCACTTCTTGTTCCTGCCACCGCTGTTCATGCGACTTCAGCGCAAACTAAACTATTGATTTGGCAGTGGTAAGCTGGTAAACTGAACCAATGGACACCATTGCTGTTCTTGCAACAGCTGTGCCCACTTGGTACGTTGGCGAAAAGTCATTGCCACTGCTGCTAGTACCAGTTACTAGTTCAAATGGTTCAATTGCCACAGACCTATGTCACACATGTCGCACCAATCAACTTGAGACCATTTGGGCCAACGATTGGTACCATTCTAATTGTTGTTTGATAGGAATCATCTACCATGTCGGTCTCAGGGTTATCCATGCTACACCCTCAGCATGGATAGATAGACTCTGAGACTCTTGATAAACAATCCCATCAGGACGAAGAGGAGACAGATGGATGAAATCCTGCGGGAGGAGGGCCACGTTCACGTTCCAAGCGCACACAATCTTCTTCGACAACTTCAGGCGCAACCACAGCCCCCTCAGCATTTGACGTTGCTGACGTTGTTGGATCACGAACAACCTTGCCCTCAGAGCCCTCTGACACCCCTGCGTTCTTCTTCTCAACCTTGTCACTCTTGTCTGATTTCTTTGGCTTCTTTTTTGCTGGGCCCTGGTCATGATCATGACGATCCTCACCACTGGCCCCGCCACCATCTCTGGTCGTACCAGGCATCACGGTGTTTTCAGGGCCCCAGCTGATATTGATATTGAAGTTCATGCCAGGATACCTGCCACCTTCACCCCGCGGGTAAGCATGAAAGTGGAAGCTGTGGCAACCGAACTGGCATCCCTCAAGTAGGCCTGTGGCACACAATTGCGAGCGTCGTGGTTCATTCTCCAGTTGAGCTGCGACATCACTTGCCAAAGACCTGATCATTTGATTTCGATCTGAGTGGCGCATTGGATTCGCCATTGATTGGGTTGGCCTATCTGCCTGTTTGCTAACTGGCTGTACACAAGCAGCTTTAGGGCGATAGATGTTGCCAAGAAGAAGCTGATTGGGCCAGGGCGACCGATCAAAAGTCCAGAGACTCAATTTGACTCTGAGTCCTTCCCTAATGCAAATCTGCAACTCATGAAAATCGCCCAGCCAGCCAGCCAAGCCTCCAATACAGCAGAGCCTCGACAGTGACCCAGAAGAATGCGGCCACTTGGCCAGCCTGACACCAGGCAACGCTGTTCACGAACCTAATCAAAAGTCAATGGCGGCCCTCCCCCCAAAAAGAAACACAATCTGAGTTATGTTGTTGGTGGGAGTAGTGTGCAGTAGCAGTAGCATGAGTCCATTAGCCCCCTTTTAGCCTGTGAGTAACTCCATTTGCGCAAATTTGGCAAATGTGCCATGGCTGCCACTGCCACACCACTGCAAAATAGCACCGGCGCCGACCTAAATCGAATATCAACTAATCCAGATTAGCCTGTTTGTGGGTGTGGGGATTCAAAAGCATCACCTACGACTATGACTTATTTATAGATGCAGAGGCGGCAAACAAACCTTTCTTGCAAAAACACAAAAGTTGAGGAATAGTTATATATATATATGTACTAGATTATATATATATATATATACATATATTGCCATAGTGGTTTGCTTCCACAAGCAGAAGTAAGAAAGTGTAAACAATGTAAACTGTGAAGCATTGAGGGTGGTCCCTACTCCTTCCTGCTAAGTTGAAGAATCAAAAAACAAGTTGTCTATCCGCCTCCCTCACCCCTCCCAAACCCAAACCAGGTAAAGGCCGGTGGACCCCCACTGCCTTTTGCTCCAGCTTGGGCCGCCTGCTGAGAGTTGGCAGTGGCCCCAGCAAAAGCTGAAGACTAACGACCGGTTGGCGGGTCAGTCAGCTGTTCACTAGTTCACTAACCAAACAAAAGTAAAGTAGTTGCCTAGCCTTTCCCCCAAACCCTAGACCCTCTCACAAAGGACATCCCGGACAGATCAAACACAAACTATGCCTTCAATAGAGTTGTCCTGCAAACAAATCACTTGTTAACTTGCCGACATTGTCATTGTCTTAAAGTATGTTATTGATATTGCTTGTAATTGCATCAACTGGCAATAATGAGTCAGGTCATGATCACAGCCGACATCTGGCAGCACCGGTCCACATCTGGCAGCAAGGGAAGTAATGAAGTAAGTGAAGTACAGATGGCTGGTTGGCCGTGGACTCGTGGACTTGTGGACTTGTGACCAAAATCCTTAACCCTGGTAACCCTGGTAACTAAATGTTTCAGAGGTAGCTGAGGTAGCACACTGCACATGTGTTCCCACGTTCCCAAAACAAATTTAGCCACAGCCACAGGCCGGTTTGGAATATGTTATAATTTATATCAGGCAACACCAACACAAAGGATGAAGCGTACTGTACCTTGGAATGCGCAGTTCACGTAAGTAGTCAGATGGGATACAAATCATGACTAACCATACGAAACCATGAATATAATATATACACAACCTGACAAAGACGCCACCATCCTCAACCATCTCATCTCGCCCCGTACGCAAACCGCCGCGATGCCTGCGCAAGCTCCGACAAAGCTTGCCTGGCCTACCATGTGTGTTTGTGAATTCAGTGAATTGTGAATCCCTGTGCCGAGTGTGAGTTGTGTGAATTGTGATTGCTCACTCTTACACTGTGACAAGATAGTTTCAACCTATTGAGGGTGCAGGGTGCGCTCCTATTAGCAGTACTGGCATGGCATGGGCGCATGGGCTCAAATCAATCAAACCCGTAACTCACAGCACACGCCTTCAAGCTCTATATAGAGCCTTCAGACACTGTAGCCGCCCAAAGTCTGCAAAGCTCACAATGCCTCGCTCGCAACGCAAATGATGGCAAGGCGGTAAGGAAGGATGGCAGGCAGGCTTTACAGCTTTAGAGTTTCTTTAGATTAGATCCGCCACACAACACACAGCAATCAGCATGCAAACAATGCAGCTATTCAGGACTACTACTCCATTCAAGCGAACAATTAGGACCATAGTTATAAGTCATCAGCCACAAACGTCTTGCGGAGCACCACTGGAATAGAGGCTGACTTCATTATTCATGTAAAGGCTTGCAGCGTCATGTCGCGTTGATCTAGCAGCTCTAGCACGGTCCACTGGTCCACTCACCATTGGATTCATTTTGTGAGTGCCACTGCCAGTGCTTCTGCTACAACTACAATCAAACCAGCCCGAAAAGCATGTTTGTGTGTTTCCCTAATTTCCTGGGTCTCCCAACAATTACTTATTGCAGCTTAACCCACAGCTCTAGCGTTCTAGCTCACTAGGTCCTCTAGGTTTCAGTTTGTGCACAATGCTTTTGGCTTTCGGTCACACCCTGACGGGCCCCGAGGTAAAACCACCCTGCCAGTAGCCTGCCTCTGTGGATCCTTGAACAGGTCCGGGAAATATCTGGTGCCAGAATCATGCCGAACTGAGGGCAAAGGAAAAGGCAAACGAATCTTCCCTTGGCCAGAAGATGATGAGGAGTATGATGGTGAGCTCAACTTGCCATCAGCAAGAAAATCAAATCGCTTGGCGACTTCTCCACAGCAAGGATCATGACTGGCGAGCAAACACATTGGGCAAACCTGAAGTTTGCTGCCTTCTACGTCATTTTGGGACTCGCATATGAAGCACACCTCGCAAGAGATGAGTTCAACACCACCATCGCATTTGCTTTTGGCAACACGGAACATGTGCATGAACCGCACAACAGGGTCTGCCAAGCGGTTGAGATCACTAGAAGAGCGGGATGACTTCTTTGCACTTCGCTTCTCACGCAATACCACTGCACCTGTCACTGGCATGATGATGTCATGAGGTGCAACTTGTAGGGGATGCCGCTTTGCACCCACAGGTACAATGGCCTTCAAGTAGTGATTGCTGTCTAGATCAGCAACCCTTCCACATTTGCCCGGTATTGTCCAGTGTATCAGAGCTAAATCTCTTGTTTCTGGGCGCAGTACAAGCGATACTCCAGCACGTTCATCTTCCCCTGGGGTATGTGATTGAGCTTCTCTGTAGACATCCAAGCTCTCAAGACTTTGTTCTAGGCTCGCTGTCCACATTTTCACAAAGGCCAGCATAGCCGCCATTTGACCTGAGTGTCCAAGCATTTGACGGGACTGCCGATACTGATACTGTATTTGACTTAACACCACCAATGGGAATTAGTAGATAATATCTTTATAGAATAGATGAGGAGACCCAACTCCAACTAACAAACATGAAGTCCGAGCATATATGTGTTTGGCAACGAATTAACGGTAGGAGGGCCCTAAGGGTTCAAGTTGGCTGGCATGACTTTATTGTGGACAACCAAGTACATCAGGAATGAATGTGAATATATCAGGTGGCCCGGGCCGGCGCAAAATAGTCCTCCCCACCAAAAAATATTCGCCCAGTATTCGCCAAAGCCAAGCTTCCCTCTTATTTGGCAGCTTCATCCCTACCAGTCTCATCAGTGTCAGTGTGACACTCCATGTTCCCCAAGACTCCTTCAGTGTCTTCAAGTTGTCAGTGTTATTATTTGACATGATGCTGTTCAAAGGGTGTTCTACTAGATTGCCACACACGTGTGAGGCTTGCGGGGTGGTGGGGTGATAAGAGATGATGGACATGGAGCTGTAAAAAAAAAGTCTTGAGTATTTGTTTTGTTGTCCAGTCCTGCATTGTTCAAAACTGCTTCCATAATTGCAGCCTCTGGCAAGTCATCTGCTGTCCAAAAGTCTTCAATAGCAGCATTTCACGGCATTGGACATGCTCCAGTTCTCAATGCATCTTTCACTACCTGCTCCTCCACTGCCCGAACACTATCCTCCATAGTTTCTTCGTTGGCTTCGGTCTCCAGCTCTTGCTTTTTCTCTTCCAAATCATCCAGAACTGTTGATGTTGTCTCACGGCAAGCCTCCCTCAAAATGTGCTCTGCCGTAGTCAGTACACTCGCACTCCCATGTGTGCCACCATCATCACCGGCTGCTTTCTCAAGATCTTCTTCCGCTTGTTCCATCAATAGTTCCAGTATTTTCTGTTCAAGTGGTTTCTCAGCATTGTCGTTTGCGTCGTCCTCTTCATGGTGTTCTGCATGTTCATCTTCATTTTCCTCTGGCTCGTCAGACCAATTGACAAAGGCCTCTTTCATTTTGGTCGACGGCTTCTCCAAGTCCACTTGCGCAATGGGCTTACTCTCAGTGAGGCCAACATACTTGATAGCTGGAAGGTTTTTGGCATCATACTTGTTTGGTTTCAGAATGAAAACTCGCACGTGAGCACCGCTTCGAACAAACGGCCAGTACGAGGAGATGACATCAAGGGAATTCAAGAAAGTCAACGGCTCTTTCAACCACAGTTCCCTGTCCCCCCGCGTTTCACACAGAACCAGCCGTCGAGTTGTTCGAACCTTCTCTGCTGTGATATAGTGATCATAGGTAGATTGAAACCCAGCTTGTTTTTTGATAATGGTGACCACCAATGATGAGCCTGCAGAAACTGAAGTATCAGACTCAGACGCAGCTGCCAGTTTCTTGTTGATCATCATGTTCCAGCATGCGGCCCAGTTCTTTCGAGCAGTCTGTCCTGGAATTCCGATCAACTTGTCATACACGCGGCTCATTTCTCTGTCAGGAGGCAAGTCTTCTGGTGGCGCCGGCTGTTCCCACCGTGAGGTGTTGTTTTGGACCTCTGCTTTGTCAGGCCAACTGGACAAGCAAAGCTGCAGCAACGATTGTGCTGTGGGTTTGTATTCACTCCATTTCCGCCGTTTCTCAGAAGCTCCAGGATTCACAGACTCGCCCAAGAAGTGCTTTATGCAAGCGCGGCTGGAAATCAGCTCATGTGATGATGTTGGCCCCCGCTCTGTGAAAAGGGCCAAATGCTTGTTTATTCGCTCGCAATCCCTAGTGTCACATTGCCAGCATCTGGCAATGCCTCGAATAAACACCCGCAGAGCTCCTTTCAAAATGCCTTGTGTTGCTGCAAATTGCAGATCTGCTTGAAAAAGATCCCTGGCCTTTGCCGCATTGATTTCCAAATTCTTTGTTTCAAGAATCTCCTTCGCAACTTGAATGCGGCAGGTGCACACAGAAGTATCTGGATTTTTGCCCAAAAGCAGGAGTCTGTATGGAAATCGGATGAGAGGGTCAAGGATTCGTCTTGAGAAGGCTGAAGCCTGCTGCAGCACTGCAAACACCAATCTGAGGAGAAACTTTGAGTCGTTCTCATCAAGGTTGTCACACAGACCAATCCAGAATGAATCTTGTCCTGAGAGATCATGACACTTTTCAAACCAATGTCTAAGGTCAGTCTATGTGTGTTTCACCAATACCAACAAAGTCCAAACAGGAACAGGAACCCAGGAACTAGAAACCAGAAACGAGAACAACACCGACCTAAAACTTGAACCAGTCTAAGTCTAGGTCCTAATAGCCTAACTGCCAGACCCCAACGCATGCTATAGGCTGCTAGAACCTGTAACTTTAGCTGTCACTAACACTAACTAGTCTGTCACAAGCCCTCCAAATCACAAGTCCATAAGTCCATAAGGATACTAAAGGAATTAAATGAAAGCAGCAAGCAACCAGGCAGGGAAAAAGTGTATGCATGCATGAGTGCAAAAGCACTGGCAAGGCTTATAGCCACAGCAAAGCAGCAAAGCAGGCAAGCATACAGCACACAGTTAATTCAGCTACGGAAGTTCCGTATTGAACCTGACTTGGGACTTAGGCAAAGTTCGTTTAGACAAATATATAATATATTATATATATAGTCAAACAAAAGATTAGAAAAGGACCAGGACGCATTTAAAAAGCTTAGGCAATTAGTCATTAGTCGTTCCTGCCTGCTGTCTTTGCTAACATGACGACTGACGACTGCTTGAGAACTAGAACATTGAACATGATTGATTGACCGGTTTATAGGTTGCTAGTTGCTTGGTTGTCAATGTTTGTTCTTTTGTTTCGTGTGGCTTGCTTGGGCTTGCGCATAGTTTGCATAGGGGCGTTTGTTGTCATTAGTCATTTGTCATGATGACTGTAGATGTTGCTGTGCAGCTTGCACATACACACACAGAGTATAGTTGTATGTTGTACTGCATTTGGTACCTGCAATAATTGTGGCTGTGGCCCGTGATGCGCCGCGGAGTGGCAATAGTAAGAGTGTAAGATCATGCATCCCGTTGGCTGAAGCATGAAACACTTGTAAAGCTACGCCACTACGCGACGCATTCACTGAAGTCAAGTCAAGTGTCTGAACATCATCTTGGGAAACGATTCGTAGATTTCTTGTCCCTTTCCACAAGTGAGGAAATGCAAATGTCGCTCAGAGTCTGCCGGTAGTTTTTTCTTCACATAGTGAGACAGGTGCATCCATGGTTCACGACTGGTGTGCAAAACAATAATGATCTTGCCAAAGAGAGTGTCTTGTAAAACAGTCCAAGTGTGGCGCCGCCACTTTCCCAGGCGAATATTGAAAGCCTGTGTTGCTTCCACTGCCAACTCGTCAACAGCATCAGCACTGTTGTCAGACTTTTTGTTTTTGTGTGTCTTGTTGACCTTCTTGTCATTCTCAAGGAGTTGTGGCTCAGTCTCAAATAAGTATTTGATGGCTGTGGATAACTTGGACACCTCAGCCTCAAGCAAGCGTCGCTCCGTTTCTGCAATGGAGCCCCATCTCCCAGCCACGCACCGCGGAATCAAAGATTTGACTTTTGAAACAGCATCTGCGTCACCAGACAAAGCTCTCCAAGTAAGAAACAGACTTTGCCCGAGATCTCTGAGCGTGTTTGCCACGATTGCTATTGAAGAGTAGTACTTCCATGGTCTGTGGCCTTTCAGAAGCTGGTCTGTCAGCTTTAGGGCACCCAAAACACCCAGGTGTGACAAGTGCTCAAAGCAATCGCTTGGCAAATAAAATAGCGATGGCACATCCTTTGTTTGTACCAAAACTGTTTTTTTTGACCATAGTTCGTTGCTTCCCCGGTCAGTCGTAGCCATGAAGCACACTATATGATTGGATGTCCTAATGCTCTGGCGGTGGTGGTCGTGGTGGTGGTGGTGGCGGTGGTGGTGGTGGTGGTGAATAACAAATATGTGTTTGCTGCAAATCAAGAGTTCCAATTCATTATACAAACAATTGTACAAATGTAACGGTAACGTGTTTTCTGAACAGGTCAACGGTCAAGGTAGGCAAGAAGAAAGGAAGACCGTTTTTTTCATAAGGAAGGAAACCGAAAACCTATAAACCAATGAACAAAACAACCAGTTGAAGACATTGTCTTTTCCCAGGTTCCAGCTTGATTGACCACAGAGTAGCAAGTGGCAAGTGGAATGTTGCTTACTAGAGGGCTGGAAAGATTCTTCATTCATTCTCTCATGTCAACGTAAACCCTCCATGGAAACGGAGGCAAATGAACATGGAAAATGGACAACAGTTATTTTATATTGTAAAATATAACTCACACAAAAAGATTTGACGAAGCAGAACAAAGATGTCTCCAGCATTTTTTTGCTCAAAGACAATGTTGAAGGGCCTTCTCCACAATGAACTGGAACGACATCAGCCAATCTTCGGATACTTGTAAAGTCCTTTGCCCTAAACTGTTGTAATTCCTCATCTGAGGAAGCGTTAGCCCAGGATGCCGCAACCTCCATGGCGGTCAGTTTATGCTTGTGGTTGGTTGCATCTTCACGATATTGAATGAACACAAATGATTTGGACTGGAGGTCAATCTGCGCGTCTTCAAACTGCCATTCTTGGAACCAGAGTCTAGAACTGGCAAGCAAAGAAGCACCAGTGCGGCACTCTGCACGCAAGACGCTTTGTTTGCTAACATCACACATGATTTGTAATCCCAGATCTTGCGCAGAGGAATTGCCTAAATTCCGACGTATTGCAAGGCTAATGTTCCCCTGTGGAGTAAGCCAGCCCGTGGATTCAGATTCAGCATCCATGGTGTCCTTGCCGTTCTGAAGGAATTGCTCCAAGCGTCCACCCTCAAGTTGACGAACCTGTCGCTGCAAGTCCCTATTGCCTTTGACTCGTGTTGGACAAAATTCGTCCTCACGTTTCTTGACCAACCGCAGCTCAGGCTATGCCACCATAACGGCTATCCTGACTGCCAACAAGATGAACGACCCTATCAGATAAGCTGCCAATACAAAAGTAGTGATGCGGATTGGGCGGCAATGAGTTTGTGGCTCACAGGGGATCCTACCTTCCTCAGGAAGCTAGAATCACATCGCCGAGAGCTTAGGCGCAAGGCAGAGGGGACTGAAGCTGAGGGAACTACCAGAAACAAGTCCCGACGCACTGCTCCCCCTGTCGGCACGGGCAGCTCCTCCTCTACTGCACGCCCTCATGATCGCAACCTTCCCCAGCCACCCCAGAGGCCAAGGTACGCGGGGAGGCGATAGTTGGTCGGTCGAACCCAAGGCGGAAGGTGCAGAGCCCAGTGATCAGGACTCACCTGTGCAGGGTAGTGTGATGTTGTGGCCTTAGCCATTGCGTTTCTGGTGTGGGTGTTGTTCCCTCAGCGATCTGTACATCCACTTGGTTTCCCCCAAACTGAACAGAGATGGACGAACCTTGGCCTTCTGCCTTGACGTCACCTCCAACCTCATCGCACCTAGAGGTTCCTGCCAAGAACTCATTCATCGCCTCGTTCTGGGCACACTGGATGACTTGATCCAAGGCCACATCAAGGTCCATAGGTTCTCCACCCCCTTCTGGAGCTAAACTCCCATCTGGCAAAAGAAATTTCGACCTCCATGTCTCCATCCCCTTCTTCACCTGGAACCTCCCCACCTGCACCACCTGCACCCTCAAGTGGCCTCTTTACTGACCTCTCCGGATCATGAATTGGTGGCGGAGGAAGAGCTTGTTCGCCACTTCTGGGATCAACATAAGCACCCGCAAGCAGAGGAAACAAGACGTTCACGTCATACCATGGTGATTGGTCCCTAACTCTGAAATTGTGACCCTTGATCACTTTCCTCACTCCAGTGGAATCAACAGAAACAGGGTAAACCAAACAACCACCACCTGTGCTGTACCTGGCCCCCAAATAAGCACCCAGCACCATCCTCTGACCTTGCCACTTCTGTGCATGAACTGGCTTCACAAAACCCATGATCCCAAAAGGAAAAGTTCGTGGTATCTGACCTCCTCTCCTCTCTCAGAGATTCCAAAGGAGTGCCACCCCACTTGCGCTCACAAAAACCATTGAAAGTCCTGTAGGTGTATCCAACCAGATACCCCATCAAAGGTATTTCCAAAGCCAACCTCATGCCTAAATGAGCTTCCAAAGCCAACCAATTGGTGAACAAACCTTCTTTCATGATCCCCACAGCACGTTCTACACCCTTGGCGTGTGGACGATTCTCTGAAATGTTCCTCCAATGGAAGCCTCGACACTTGGACTCTCTCATTTTGTCTCATAGTGCATGAGTGCTTTCTCACTGTTGAAAACAACAAAACCCTCCAAGGGCTCAACTGTAAAGACTGCCCGAGGGCAATTAGAGTCCCTGCCACCGACTTAGCGATACGAGGCCAAAGCCTTCCACTCGACTGCACGCGTCCGACATGTCAGTCTTGACGTAGGGTTCAGCACGGTCAGTCCACAAGTATGGAGATACTGCCATTCCCTTCGTGTCCCCAAGCTACCGGACACAGTTGTAGCGATATTCCACGAGTACGGACGCCGTGTGGGCATGGTGCCCAGGTCATCGTT